GTACGTGGCCCCGGCCCGGAGCCCCGCGGCCGGGCTCCCCGGCGGGCACCCGGCAGGGACCCGGCAGCCTATTGGTGCCGATTCCTGAGTCCACTGAACTTCGTTGAACGCGTCGCGGGGCAGGCAGCGTACGAAGGCCGGCGCCCACAGAGACGAGTGATAGGACTCTCCGTGGCGTGTACAGTTCGACTGAAATGTTAGATAAGGCTTGAAAGTGAAGTTACGTGCTGTATTTAGTTCCTGAGGGCAGTGGGGGACGGTCGCATGTGGAAAGATTCGGAATGGAAGTGACATTTATCCTGAATTTTGCATTTTGTGGGAGGAAAGAAAGCATTGTAGGTGGGAGGTAAGTGACAGTTTAAGCAAAGGAACAGAACGGGGCAGTTACTCCTGTTTAAGGGAGTGTCTGGGTTGTAGAGGACGGTGACCTGGATAGGACTACAAATACAAACATAAACATAGTAAGCCTATGAAGAAATAAGGAATAATAGAAGAATGAAAATTAAAAGTAAGCCTATGAACATAAATGTAGATATGAGCCCTAATTGTGGAAGACTGTGTGAATGAAACAGTGATTTGGCCTGTTATGTCAGAATGAATTCCACCCCTCTATTTCTTGAATATACTGTTTTCTTAGAGGTTGACCTTGCTTATATTTCCTTCTGAATTACTGGGCAGTTAAAAATACAGACTCATGTGCCTGCCTGCCCTAAATCCTGAGAGGAGAATGGAGGAGAAGGGGTTGAAGCCTGGGGACTGATATCTCACTTTCCCTCTCTGTCTGCTCTCTCCAGTGAGCACACGAGCCCTATAGCAAAACCCAGAGCAAAACAAACAAATACACTAAAAAACCCAGACTCCTGATTTCTGTTGGATCTACTGAGTTAGAATCTTTGTGGGTAGGGGAAGAGGACTTAAGAGTCTATGTATTTAACAAGATGTTTTTGACATTCTAAAGAATTACAGTTCATTGCCTTGTACCGGTTTTAGAAGAAAGGTACTAATCTCTTAAATTAGGAATGCGGGGGACCTGCTGAAAGTGAGACCAAAGTTACGTTTGGGGACTTAAACGAGTATGCAGAATACTTGCTCTCAGGAACATGGTAAGGAATGTATAAAAACGAACCAAAAGATTGCCAGGTTAGTACATTATTCACAGCGAGTGATGGCTTTTGTAGATGATCTCATCATGATTTTATTTTATTTTATTTTTTTTCCAGCAGTGCTTGTCAGCTGGATATAGGAATTAGGACAGCAGGTGGCAGGAGCTGTGCATTAGCTGGGTATGGATTTGGTAGACACAGGGGAAGTTGATGTTGACCAGGAAGTCTGTCTTGCTAGGAGAGCAGCATTGAATTGTCTGGGAGTCAGATTGGCTTAAGAAAAACCTGTGGATCCAAAACAGATGACATAGAGGCCCTGATGCACTAATAAAGAATATGTACTCACATCTCATCTTTTCTATGTTAATGATTTCCGAAATTGTGTCTCCTCAGCTGCAGGTAGGGATTTTCTATTGGACTGGACTCCCCTGTGATGAACTCAGGTTCCAATCCCAGATTTGACAGCATGAGATTCATGCCGGGCACATGTGCATGCATGTCCAAAATCCCAGGAGGAGAATTGAGAAGGGATTGTAGTATGGCCATCTCCCCGGAGGGTGATTTCTCACTTTACCCCCCCCCTCTCTCTCTCTCTCTCTGTGTCTCTCTTGAGCACATCATGCATCCTATGGCAAAAATCTTAAAAAAAAAAAAAGTTTTCTTAATTGAGTAGAATTGTATCCCCTCTCTTAATGCAAATTTTAATTGGGTCCTAATTCACTTTGTAATATCTTCATTCAAATGTAGTGTTTTTCTAGCTGAAAAAGTGTAAGGTGGCTGACTACAACAAATAAAAGTCAGTAGGTTAGGAAAATACCTGTAATGTTGACATCAATATTGTTATTTAATTTTCTTATAGGTGTTCAGATTCTGTAAATCCAAATGTCATAAAAACTTTAAAAAGAAGCGCAATCCTCGCAAGGTCAGGTGGACTAAGGCATTCCGGAAAGCAGCTGGTAAAGAGCTTACAGTGGTGAGTACAGTTTGCTGTAATCAACTAGTAATTTTTCAAAGTTTTAATTTTGGGGGCGGAGATATATGATTTAATTAACCTTAACAAGACTTCTTCAAACGTATTTGCAGGGTGCTTTATTTGTATTTGACTACGGAAATAATCTTCTCACATGATCTTGAAAACTGAAATAGTGTGGAGTTCAGAAAAGGAAAAAAAGAATTCCCAATCCAGTTACAACCCC